TTTGCATGCCTTGTATTCTGACGCTTCTAGTGTTGCTGGATCTTATTACCCTGTGTACTCTAGTTTAGGTATTGCACCCTTGTGTAGCTTAGCCTCCCCTGCTGTGTCAAGCATAGGACTGCCTGGTTTGCCTAGCCTAGTCGCTGCACCGGCTCCGTTCCCGGCCTCCGCCACTGCGTCACTATCCTTCACTCTCGACTCCGGTGCTTCTGCCTGCTTCTTCCGCGACCGTTCCACGCTCACGCCACTTTCTACGCCTGCTGTTGTCTCTCTCGCTGACCCCTCTACGGGTCCTGTCGTTGCTCCCAACTCCACTTCCCTTCCCTGTCCAGCAGTTCCCTCGGGCTCCCTTACAGGCCTCCACGTTCCCTTGTTCTCGAGGAACCTGGTTGGTGCTGGCTGCCTCCAGGACCTCGGCGTCACCACTACGTTCCCCAGGCACGAGCGGTTCGCTCTCTATTCCGAGGCTGTCTCAGGTTCCCCCCTTGCGACGTTCCCCCGGGACCCGGTGTCCAGTCTGTTCACCCTCGACACCGCTTCCCCCCCGGTTGGTGCGTCCTCCCATGTTGCTGCAACTTGCTCGTGTCGGTCCCTCACTCACCCGTCTCTTTTGTGGCACCACCGCTTAGGTCACCCTGCTCTCCCTCGTTTGCGTCACATGTCCCAGCACGGTCTTGTCTTAGGCCTCCCTGCGTCGCTCCCTGCCCTTCCCCCCTCGACTGCGCCACCGTGCACGCCATGCGTCGAGGGCCGGCTCCGCCGTGCTCCTCACTCCTCCTCGCTGCGCCCTGCTACTGCCCCCCTTCAGACCCTGCACCTCGACGTCTGGGGCCCAGCCCCCGTCCCCGGACCGCGTGGTGAGCGCTACTTCCTTGTGCTCGTCGACGACTACACGCGCTACACCACGGTGTTTCCCCTGGAGCGGAAGGCCGACGTGCCCGACGTTCTTCTCCCGTGGGTTATGGCTGCGCGTCTTCACCGTGGTCTCCCCGTGTTGTGTCTCCACTCTAACCGTGGCGGCGAGTTCGCCTCTGGTCGGCTTGGACAGTTCTGTCGTGCGGAGGGCATCACCCAGTCGTACACCTTGCCGGACTCGCCACAGCAGAATGGGGTTGCTGAGCGTCGCATCGGCTTGGTCATGGAGGTTGCTCGTACCTCCATGATTCATGCCGATGCCCCCCATTTTCTGTGGCCGTTCGCTGCTCGCTACGCTGCTTACCAGCGGCCGCAGGTTTCGCTCCCAGCTGGTTCATTGTCTCGAGCGGCCACGCTCCCAGCGGCCGCAGGTTTCGCCGACCCTCTTTTGGACCGGGTCCCCCAGTGACGCGTCTGCGTTCCACGTCTGGGGCTGCCTTGCTCACGTTCGTGCCTCTAGCACGGACAAGCTTACTGCCCGCACTGTCCCCTGTGTCTTCCTCGGTTTCCCCCTGGACTCGTCTGACTGGCTTTTCTACCACCCGCCGTCTCACCGCTTCCTCCACTCTCGTGACGTCAACTTTGACGAGTCTGTCTCCTTCTACCGTTGCTTCCCTCACCGAGATCTCCCGGTTGCGCCGCCCCTGTTCCTTGCTCCCTCTCCCCCGGTAGCCCCTGCTCCTCTCCCGCCTCGTCCTGCCCCGTCTGGTGTCTCTCACGTCACTTCCCTCCCGTCGGTTGTCCCCGTTGAGGAGTCTGCTGACTCTGGTGGTACCCCCGGCCCGTCCTTGCCGCGTCCCCCTTACCCGGTGTCTCCGCTCCCACTGTCGCAGTCGCCGACTCCGCCGCCGCCTCCACCGTCGCCGCCGTCGCCGCTGCCGCCGCCGCCGCCGCCGTCGCCGCCGCTCTTGGCCTCTTGGGGTGCTGGCGTTGAGGAGGGTGTTCGTCCTGCGGCCCCTGGGGGTGCCGCTGGTGCTGGAGGGGGTTCTCGCTCTGGGGGTGTTGGTTTCGGGGGGTGCTGCCGTTGAGAGTTCTGCCGGTGGTCGTCCTGCCCCTGCCGGTCCGAGGGTCGAGGCCCAGCCGTCGCAGTAGCCGCAGCAGCCGTCGCCGCCGGCCTCCGCTCCCTGCCTACTCGGCCTTCCCTCCCCTGACCGCTTGCCGGTGTCTCCCCCACCGCCGTCTGACTTTCCGGTCTATGGTCCTGTGTTCCCGCCGCCGGAATCGTCTCCGGCCCGTCGTCCTCCTCGTTCCCCTCTTATGTCCCCTCCACTGGCTCCTAACCCTACACCTCCGTCCCACGTTTGGTCTCGCCGTCCCTCACGTGCTCCTCCCGTCTCTCCTGCCCTGCGCTCCCACCCTATGTTGCTCCGTTCCCACTCATCTCGTCCTCCCGTCCTCCCGTCCCCTCCTCCCTCGTCCCTTGCTGTTGCACCTCCTCCGTTGTCTGACTTCCTCGGTGCCGCTCGTCCAATGTCCCTCGGGTTCTTGCCACTCTTGTTACCGACCCTTCTGTTCGTGTCTCGCGCCTTTATGCGCTTGTCGCTGCTGTCGCTGACTTCGCCTCTACCCGCTGCCTTGACTACGCTACCGCTCTGGTCTCTGACCCTGCCCGTCCTCTGTCCGTCGGGGGTGCTCCTGCCCTTGGCAGTGACGTTCTAGAGGACAAGCAGTACGAGCTTGCTTTCCTTTCCGAGGTCGTTCCCCATCTCTGCTCCATGCTGTTAGTCCCTGAGGGTGACCCAGACGCCTTCAACATCCCGACCCCTCGCACCTACGCTGAGGCCACCTCGGGACCCTGGGCCTCTCAGTGGATAGCTGCCATGGAGCAGGAGATGGCATCTTGGAGGTACACCGGCACTTACGTCGACGCAGTTCCCCCGCCTGGGGTGAACGTAGTCGATGATCGGTGGCTCTTCAAGATGAAGCGCCCCCCTAAAGAGCCGCCTGTCTTCAAGGCGCGCTACGTGGCCAGAGGCTTCAGTCAGTGCGAGGGGGTTTACTTCTTCCAGATCTTGCCCCTACTCCGAAGATGACCACTCTTCGGGCGCTGCTACACGTAGCAGCACAGCGCGACTACGAGCTTCACTCCCTCGAATTCTCTACTGCCTTTCTTCAGGGCAGCCTACACGAGCAGGTCTACCTGCGCCGACCACAGGGCGTCATTGGTACCTTTCCCCTTAGGACCCAGTGGCTTCTCAGGCGCCCGGTCTACGGCCTGCGTCAGGCTCCCCGCGAGTGGCACGACACGCTGCGGGCCACGCTCGTAGACCTGCAGTTCTTTCCGTCCTCTGCTGACCCCTCGCTGTTTGTATGTTCCGGCCAGACTCTGTTCTACATCCTTGTCTACGTAGACGACCTGGTCTTTGCCACTGCCGACAGGGACGCACTGGCCTACGTGAAGGCCGAGCTGCTGAAGAGACACACCTGCACTGACCTTGGAGAGCTGCGTTGCTATCTTGGCCTGCAGATCTCTAGGGACAGAGCAGCACGCACCATCATTCTGGCACAGTCACACTTGGTGCGTCAGGTCCTTCAGAGGTTCGGTCTTCAGTTCTCCTCCACACAGCCCACACCTCTACCTGTAGACCATGGGCTCTCCGCTCCCGTTCCTTAGGAGCCAGTAGAGCCCAGTGGTCCCTACGCAGAGCTGGTGGGTTGCCTCATGTACCTGATGACTTGCACTCGCCCAGATCTCGCATACCTTCTCAGCATCCTAGCTCGCTTTGTGGCCACTGGCAGACACCGGCCACAGCATTGGTCAGCCGCTAAGAGGGTTTTGCGATATCTAGCAAGTACAACGGGCATGGGGTTAGTGCTAGGAGGACGCAGGCTGGTGGTCCTTACTGGGCACACAGACGCTTCTTGGGCAGACGATTGTGAGACTCTCAGGTCGTCTCAGGGCTACTGTTTTAGCCTTGGTTCGGGTGCTATCTCTTGGAGATCCACTCGCTCGTCGTCTGTGGCTCAGTCCATCTGTGAGGCTGAGATCTACGCTGGTGCCATGGCGGCACCGGAGCTCCGCTGGCTGACCTTCTTGCTCACCGACTTAGGTGAGCGGCCTAGCTCTGCCCCGGTCCTGTACGCTGACAACAGGGCCATGATCCTCCTGTATCAGGAGCCTCGGTTTGAGGGCAGAGCGAAGCATATTCAGCTGCGGTACTTCCTCCTGCGCGAGCTACAGCAGAATCGCCAGGCTCATGTGGTTCACTTGGCCTCACGTGCCAACACAGCTGATATCTTTACTAAGGCGCTTGCGCCTAAAGATCATCAGCGGCACTGTGTACAGCTTGGTCTTGTTCCAGTAGCTACTCACTTGTTAGGACCCTTATTGTGTATTCTCTACTATATATATACCTGTATGACTGGCCTTGTGGCTTTCCCTCCAGTGGCTGGACTAGTAGTGCCGCCCTGGCTTGCTTTTGTCTTATCTGTACTCTTGCTGACTGGTCTTTAGACCCTTGCCTCAGTGGTTGGACTAGTAGTGCCACCCTGAGCTGTTTGCTTCTTGCTTGCATCACCCCTTCTCTAGCCTAGGGGGTGTGTCAATTTATAGATGTCATGCATGTAGAAGTCATAGGCTAGTATCGGGGTGTGCTCCTAGTGAGTACTGTCAGAAACCCAGTCACTAACCACTGGGTTAAAAGGGCTTATTGAATAGCGGGTAAGTGCGCCCATAGCCCCCCAGGCTCTGCACCTGTGGCCCTTCCCCGAGGATCTCAAGGGCAACCCCAGCGGGTCACTCAACACCCCCCCCCCCGCTGGGATAGGTGGAGGACACGAGCGCCTCTGCAGCGCTGGCACTGGGAGTTGAACCCAAGACCTTTGGCTCTGATACCATGTCAGAAACCCAGTCACTAACCACTGGGTTAAAAGGGCTTATTGAATAGCGGGTAAGTGCGCCCATAGCCCCCCAGGCTCTGCACCTGTGGCCCTTCCCCGAGGATCTCAAGGGCAACCCCAGCGGGTCACTCAACAAGTACAACCCAACTGCTATATGTTTCCTGTTGTCTGTGCTACTCAACCATTATCGTATTCTAACATATATACCTCTGTATCCTTCTATTCTAGTCACTTATTCTGATAAATAGTACTTTCTCTCACATGTATGCATCAAGAACACGACAAGGCTATCATTACAACATGAATTTCGGTATTGCATCTGGAACTGCACATCAGGAATGTGGAGGAGCTCCTTTACTTCCAGGATGCGCCACGACAAACTCCACATTCTGTTTCCACACAGCCTCTTCCTCCCCACTTTTGTCACCCCCACTACAGTCACCCCCCCCAACCCCAAGAGCTCCACCATCACAACCAGCACCACCATCACGCTGATTGTCAGCTTGTTCGCCTTTCCGCCCAGCGTACACCTCTTTCTTCCATATAGGCACCTTCGCTTTTAGCTCGTCTATCAGAAATGTGACTGCAGCGAGGGATTCTATTCTGTGGGCGCTGGACACAGCAATGATTACACTGGCCTCGGATACAGGGACTACTCCCAAGCGATGGGCCACTGCCACCTTCTTCAGTTGCCACTTGGCACGTGCTGATTGGATTATTTGTTTCAAGACACTGGCAATGGAAAGATGTCAAAGGAAAAAAGAAAATTGCTTGATTAGAAAGGAAAGGAGCGAGCAGGAGCACACATAAGGGAGAGCCTGACGAAATGTGGTTAGAACTTATGTGGAACGCTCCCAAGCCCTGACTGGGAGCACTGGAAGGTAATGGCGGAAAGCGCTTGGTGCGGAATGGGGGGAGGAAGGGGGGGCGGGGGGGTGGGGGGTGGGGGTGGGGGTGGGGGGGGAGGGGAGGAGTGGGGAGGGGGAAACGGGGGTGCGGGGGAGCGGGAGCGCCGCCGACGATGTGCGGAGGGATTGTACACTTGCCTGATCGCCATCTCGTTATAAGCTTCGTACTCGAGGCGAGTCACAACCTTGTTTTCAAACGAGTCGCGCGTAGTTCCGAGAAACGTCGAGATCGCTCCAGCTCCCGGATCCCTGACCAAATCGACGTACCTATCTACCGACAGACGCTCATCCGTTAACTCCACGAAATCCTCCGCGTCTACCTCTGGTTTCGCCATCCCTTACAGCCTGTAGAGTGAGAACAATTAGGGTCTGGACTTTACGAAAGTAGGATAAGGAGAAACAGAAGGACATTAAAGCCCCATCGCAGAAAAGTTCGGAGCCCAGTGTGAGCACTAGCAGCTTTAGGGCGTGTCCAGCGCGTTCTTATACTATTCAGTTGGCGTGACAGATACAGAATTGAAGTGTGGTAACCCGAAGATCCGTGTCTTTTAGGACCCGCTCGAAAAGTGCGCGTTCTTAGCGGACGCTCTCGAAGCGTGCCAGCAGTCGTGTTGCGCACGTTTCGAAAGCGGCTGGAAATCGTGCCCGAAATGATCTCCTTCCAGAAACGACAAATCCTGGCTGGCGAAAAGTAAATACATGACTTCGTCAAATTCGGGCAGATTCGTCAAGCCGTGGCAAAAACATCGAGGCCTCGTTTTCCAGACTCATAATACCATAACTTCATTTCTTTCGCCAATATCTTTTGTTTTTCGCTGCGCAGCGCACTTGTCGTGTTAAAGGCTGGACACAAGGCCGAGGCGAGCATTCTCTCTGTGGTCGAAAGGTGAGCCTTGCGACATCTACATTCCCCGTAACATTTTTCTGAGCATGTACAGAAGACGTTAAAAGCGCGTGTGAGTGCCAAATGTACGCGCTAGACACGCCCTTACGTGCTCATTGAGCAGCGCGAAACCAACTGACAGTCGCTCGAGGTGCTGGAGACGAGGGCTCTCGGGCCGTGGAAACTTTAACCCACGGCAACTCCGAGTTGCTCCATGGCAACTTTCGTTAGGGCGTGTGACATTTTGAAAAAATGCAGAAGTCCGTACCACATGAATGTATATCGGGGGCGGACTTGTCAACATTCGAGGATCGAAAAGCAGGTTCCAAAATTTCAAGTGTTGAAACTGTATTCGGCACCCAGTCAAGGGCACAACGCCGTACGTACGCGTGGCCCGTACACAGTCAAGCGACGACAAAGTACAGTCGTCAATGTTTCGTCAAATCCGTGCGACGATTACGACTGGTCTGAAGAAAAACTATTTAGTCGTCACCAATCACCAACCTTAGAGATGCCTTTGGTGTGTAACATTTTCGTCCTAATCGCTAACAATGCACACCATCGGAACTAGACCGGGTGTGCGGCCAGGCTGGACCTCAAAGCGGACACTGGTCTGGCAGGTTCGGACATGCGCGAGTGAGCCCTGTAATTTTAGCGGGACGTACCCATATGTGATATATTTTATTGCTTACTCCAATCCCGTTACGTTCGAAATATCACACGCCCTTACTGTGTCGAAGCAGCCACCACGAAGGGGCAATATTGGGGCTGTTGTAACTCGCAGGTGTAATTCGTCGTGGTTGTAATTCCATATTCTACTTCTATATTATACTTGGGCACAATCGTGCCAATTGCACATAATAGTTTGTTGTAAAAACACACTTAAGTAGACTGAGGGAACAGGTGTCAGCCGTGATTTAAATCCCCGCATGCACATTGTTCAGGGCCTCCTTTAGGCTGTTCGGAACCAAACAACAATCTCACGCGCACAGTCGGCAAAGGGGCACAACCACCTATGGTCAAGATACCGAAATCCAGCATGCTTAGTGGTAGACAGACTGCATATTCGTGTACAGGGCTCCAGGGGTTCAGCACCAAGGGGCCAGCATGGCACACAACGAATGAGATATGCACCAGACCTTCTACAGGAGATACTTGTTTATTAGTCGCACACGGGCGTTCGTGGAGAAGGGGGTCACATGGATGACACGTGTGATGCATATGTCATCGACCACGGCGTAGTCATGGGGGGGTGGGGCTGGCTTCAGCTGCTTGCACGTAGTGTACGGGCAAGTACCCTGCTCTATGTATTACTGGATGTAGGCCCATCCCTTCAGCACCCCATGGATGTCCTTCGTACGGACGAGCGATAGGGTTTTCCCATACCACTCGGGTGCATCGTCCATGTCGATGGCCACGTCCGAGAACCACTTCTCCTTCGGGGAGGCCTTAAAAAAAAATCCATGTTTTGAGACCCCCACGCCATCCTCCTTTGGCATGGCCATTGCGGTGTGGACCTGCCAGGTAAGACAACGGGGGAATGGTGGGGGCAGCATTTGTTGAGCAGCGGCGATCACCGGGTCCCTGGCCGCCATGCCCCCTGAGCTCTACGCCGTGATACCGTCGCAACATCGGGGCACGGACGCATGTGGGTATGCAAGGCGTGCTGCCCTCGGCCTGCTGCACTCGGCCATGGGCCTGCTGCCCTTGGCAGCCTGCCTGGTGCCAGCTGCCATGGGCGCCCTGACATGGGCATGATGCCCTTGGCTGGAGGACCAGTGCGTGCAGCCCCGCACGAGGTGCGCAGTGCATGGTGCCCTTGGCGTGCCTCCCCGAACACATGCTGCCCTTGGCGTGGGGCTATGGGCATGCGGCCCTTGGCGGCCGGCCCTCGGCATGCTTCCCTTGGCGTACTGTTATGGGCATGCTCCCCTTGGCGCGCTTCCCGGAGCATGCTGCCCTTGACGTGCTGCCCCAAGGTCATGCTGCCCACGGCGTGCTGCCCTGGGCGTGCTGCCATTGGTCTGCTGCCCCAAGGTCGTTCAGTGTTGGGCCTGGCGTGCTGCCCATGGCATGCAGCCCTTGGCGCGCTGCCCCCAACTTGTAGCCCCTGGCGTGCTGCACATGGCATGCAGCCCTTGGCGTGCTGCCCATGGCATGCAGCCCTCGGCGTGCTGCCCATGGCATGCAGCCCTGGGGGTGCTACCCATGGCATGCAGCCCTGGCGTGCTGCACATGGCATGCATACCTTGTCGTGCTTCCCATGGCATGCAGCCCTTGGCGTGCTTCCCATGGCATGCAGCCTTTGGCGTGCTTCCCATGGCATGCAGCCCTTGGCGTGCTTCCCATGGCATGGAGCCCTTGGCGTGCTGCCCATGGCATGCAGCCCTTGGCGTGCTTCCCATGGCGTGCAGCCCTTGGCGTGCTGCACATGGCATGCAGCCCTGGGCGTGCTACGTTGTCAAGCGGCCCAAGGGATGCTGCCATGGGCTTGCGATCATCGGCGTGCTGTCAAGGGCATGCTGCCCTGGGAGTGCTGTCCCAAGGTCATGCTGCCCTTGGCGTGCCGCCCCAAGGTCGTGCTGCCCCTGGCGTGCTGCCCAGGGCATGCTGCCCTTGGCGTGCTGCCCCAAGGTCGTGCTGCCCTTGGCGTTCTGCCCAGGGCATGCTGCCCTCGACGTGCTGCCATGGGCACCGGATCCCTTGGCGTGCTGCCATGGGCACCGGATCCCTTGGCGTGCTGCCATGGTCACCGGATCCCTTGTCGTGCTGTCATGGGCATGCTGCCCTTGGCGGGCTGCCCTCACATGCTGCCCTTGGCGTGCTGTTATGGGCATGCTCCCCATGGCGTACTGCCCAGGGCAGGCTGCCCTTGGACTTCTGCCCCAAGGTCACGCTGCCCTTGGCGTGCTGTTATGGGCAAGCTCCCTTGGTGTGCTGTCAATTGCATGCTGCCCTTGGCGTGCAGCCCCAAGGTCATGCAGCCCCGAGGTCATGCAGCCCTTGGCGTGCTGTCAAGTGCATGCTGCCCTTGGACTGCTGCCCCAAGGTCATGCTGCTCTTGGCGTGCAGCCCAGGTCATGCTGCCCTTGAAGTGCAGCCCAGGGCCTTTTTCTCTAGGCGTGCTGCCGTGGGCATGCTGCCATCCTGTGTGGATAGACAGGAAGGCATGGACCACAAGCCGCGATTCCTGCAGTGGGTAGTCACCTGGATGAAGATGCCCTGCACATCGGCAGCCACCATCTTCTCTCACAGGTGGGTCAGCGCGCCAGGGACAACCACCTCGTACCCTTGTCGCACGAGGTCCGTGTCATTGTCCACATCCATGGCCCTGGAGGCCTTTGTGAAGACGCGCAAATGTCCCGCAACGGCCTGCGCAACGGTATGTCTATGCATATGTCGATGTTCCCAAATCTGCCTCCTCGCCCTCTGCCGCTTCCACGGCCGTGCCCACGGCCCATGCTTGCGACTCTGGCACCATTAGGACCCGCCAATCCGCGACGGTGGAAATCTTCTTGTAAGATTTCCCGCTTCACATCTTCGAGGGAGAGACGGGGCAGATCTCGATTTAGGTTGATGATGAGCGATGACCATGAGTCCGGAAGTAAGGCCAGCAGCTTGGTCTTCTTTTGAAGGTCACTGTAGTTCAGGTCAGCTCCTTCGAGTCGTGTCAACAAGTCGAAGAATTTCGGCACTCCTTCCTCTACCGGTTCGCCTTCGTCAATTCGAAGTGCCACCATTTGCCGCTCCAGAACCACAGCCACCGCCGTTTTTGCAGGAGCGTGTACACCCTTGAGAGCAGCCCATGCCTTTGGTCCCTTTGCTGGTTCACGCTGAAAAGGCTTGATGTGACGGATTTGACTGCTCCCCAAAGCTTGCCCAAGTAGAAGATAGCCGTGTGCGTTCTTCCACACCCACCGGCTCTTCTCCGGGTCGTTCTCATGACGCTTCCCCGTTCCTTCCATCACCTCCACCAGATTATAGTGGTCAAAGATGTTCTCCATCGTGAAGGACCACTCAGCAAAGTTGTCACCGTTGAACTTGTCAGACAGCTTCAAATATTGATGCCGATCATATCTGAGCCTCAAACAGTCATATGTAAATTGGATCTGGAGTGCGTTGCTGTCACCTATCCGCAGCAGGTTGAATCATGAAATTCCATGAAGATTTGACGACGCTATGGCGGTTTGACTGGCAGGAGGTATTGCAGCCACTATAGTATTAGAAGTACAAACTTAGCAAGAAGAATCGAGATTTAGATGGTTCCCAGCCTCTACATGCCCCAAGAGCCGAGGTCCATATTGGTGGTACACCAGCACAGAGTCCCCAACCACGAAGTATCTCGACACAAACCCAACAACGGGCTACACCAAGTGAAATGTAACACTACACGAAGTAGCATTACTATTTTCACTATTTGAATATTTATCCGCGTCCCCTGGGTTTGAAATCTTGAGCTCTTGGTCTTGAGTCTGCAAGATAAATTCTTCTTGAGTTGATGAGGGCTTGCTGCACACACCTGCGACATGATGGACACTTCACACTCGACAAAATAGAAAAACAAATGCGACGCGCAAACGATGACTTGACATGGGAGTTGTGAAAACTCGCTAATGTCTTGACCGACACAAACCACATTGTGATACACCATTCTACACAAGTAGTAGATAGCAATGACATAGACTCACAAGTCATTCCATGACATGCATGCACACACATAAACGAGGATGACAAGCCGAGTGCAAGCCATAGGGTTGCACCAGCAACACCCGTCCATGTCACCCCACACCCCGGGTAACACCCTGGGCTGTAAGACAAGTGGCCTACCTGGTGGAAGGGCTGTAGGTGGCGACCCACTGAGTGGCACTATCTCTTGGCTTTATCAGCACTTTTACTCACCCTTCATACCCACCCACGCCTCCTAGTGGCACAGCGATTCCGTCAAGATACCACCCGAAAGTGGGTGGGTTGACTGGTGGCCTACCTGGTGGGAGGGTTGTAGGTAGCGACTCAGTTGGCACTGGTGTCATTTGGCTCCATCAAGACCTTCACTCGCCCATGTCTCTCAGTTACAGCAAGCCAGCAGCATCCTTTGCCTTACCTGGTGGGAGGGCTGACTAGGAGCACTAGAAGGTTACGGCGGAAAGTGATTGGCGCGAAAAAGGGGGGGTGGAAGGTGGGGGGGGGGGGGGGGGAGGGGGGGGAGAGAAGGTGGGGAGGGGGAAACGGGGGTGCGGGGGAGCAGGAGCACCACGGAGAATGTGCGGAGGGATTGTACACTTGCCTGATCGCCATCTCATTGTAAGCCTCGTACTCGAGCCGAGTCACGACCCTGTCTTCAAACGAGTCGCGCGTGGTCCCGAGAAACGTCAAGATCACTCCAGCCCCCAGATCCCTGAACAAATCGACGTACTTATTGACTGACAGACGCTCCTCCGTTAACTCTACGAAATCCTCTGCTTCCATCTGTGGTGTCGCCATCCCTTACAGAACAATTAGGGGGGGTCCCAATAGTTCATTTCGGGGTACGGGACACGATTTTATGAATCCTGGTACAAATCCCTGAAACGATTCCGATTCCGTAAATCTTTGTAATTGTGTCCCTGTTCACACGTGGCGCACAAGGGGGGCGCCAATTGTCCACATGTGAAAAAGCTGAGCTGCGCGCAACAGCCCAAAAAGCAGTTACCAAATGTAAGCCTGCGCGAAACATAAGTTTTGCACACCGCGCAAAAGACAGCAGGCGGGGAAACCCATCCCGCTTTTGCAAACATTGGCAGCGGCGAGCCTGGGGGGCCAATCAACAAGCGGGGGAATCTTTCCTCACTTAGGTACTTGCGAGCGTGACAAAACATCGGCGCATAGTGGTCCAACTAATGGCGCGTTCGGTTGCGGATGCGGTATGGCGTCGCGCGCGCATATGTATTCGCGACGTCGCCTGGTTTTTGCCATCGCCAGCGGGGCGATATCCAGGCGCGACACACTTGGAACCCCGTCCCCGAATCTTGCACCTTCCGGCTTTTTTACGTTTGCAATCCGAAATCTGGTACATGGCCCGACGCATGTGAAGGGTGTCCCAGGTTACGTCAATATTTCATACGTGTCCTGGCGAAACCTTAAACAAGGTGTTACTTGTTAAAATCAGGTTACTTTTAACGAAATGAATAGAACGTGAACTATTGGGATCCGCCCTTAGGGTTGCACGATTAGGGTTTGGACTCTACGAAAGGAGGAGAAGCAGAAACAGGAAATCAAGGCCTGACGGAGGGAGAAATTTGTCATTGATTGCGGAAGCGAGGATTCAGACGGAGCCTTGGATGCAAAAACCTCAAAATGCAAGCGTCTGGTAACGCTACCTTCGTGACGACGCAGGGAAAGGAAAATAAAGGAAAGCACTGTTGATGAGCACCTGGAAAGGAGGGGAAGCAACAATGGGTAACGGCGTGCAAGCATGGAGGCTAAGGCAGAAGGTGTAGGGCTGGGATGCCTTGTCCCTGGCGCTTGGGTCTTGGATGAGCGTGTAGCTGAAAGAGGAGACGGTGGAATTGACGTCGGTGCATGGAAGGAGGGAGGGAAGGGAGGGGAGTGAGGGATGTCGTGTTTTGATTTGTCTGACAACACACTGGGACGGTGAGGGATGGCGAGGGATGGTGTGGTTTGAGTCGACCTGAACATGCCGGGTGCTGCCTCTTGCATTCGGGTCTTAGACAGGCATGTAGCTGATAGGTGCGACTGTGGACTTGACGGGTGAGCATGGGGGGAGGGACAGAGGGAAGGGTGGGAGAGAGCAGGCAAGCAGCAAGGGATGCCTTGTCTCTGGCGCTTGGGTTACGGATGAGCGTATAGCCCTAGATGCCCCTGTGGACTTGACTTCGGAGCAAGGCGCGAGGCGGGGGAGTGGGGCGGAACAGGCTTGCAAGGGATGGAGGGGGGGTTGAGGAGGGAGAAAGGAAGATAAGCATGGGGAAGAGGAGGGAGTGGGGATGTATACCTGCGGGAATGAACGGGAAGGTGGCAGAAGGGCCTGCATTGAAGATGATGGTGCTACAATGCCCTCCAATGCATGGGGTGATTCTAGAATGTGGTGGGTTGCATCCGGTGCCTCCTTTATTAGAGGCGTCTCAAGGCACGGTAGCAGAAGAATGTGCATTGAAGCTGATGGTGCTGCAGTGACCCACCAATGCAATGGGTGATACCAGAATGTGGTGGGTTATATCCCATGCCTCCTTTTCTTTAGGCATCTCAAAGCAAGGTAGCTAGCAGAGGGACGTCAATTCAAGCTGATTGTGCTTCTGCACCCCACCAATGCATGGGGTGATTACAGAGTGTGGTGGACAGTATCTCCCGTGCCTCTATGTGTCACCCTCCCAACTTGCCAATATGCAGCCTTTTTCAACATTCGCCTGACCCACGTAAGTTGCTTATAGTGGTTCGATGGATATCAGGCTTTGACACTTTACCCTAGAGTATGTCGAGTGAGGTTCCTTGAAACTTACCCTGAACGTAAGCGTCCGGGGTCATGCCATTGCCATTAGGGCACAAGAAGTAAACAACTAATGGGAGTAAGCCTGTAGGCGTCTCACCTTTGACTCTGTAGGCGTTTGTCGTGCTTCTCCCCTTTCTTCCCTTCTCCTCAGTTATCCTTCTTCCCTGCCTATCTTACCCGCCAGACCATTCCGCCGCTTGTAGGTTATCACTGGTGTCTTGGGACCAAGCTCTACATGTTACAAACCTTGCAATGGCTGCTCAGATCTATTTAGGACCAAATTCCCACACTGCCAAGGGCAAGGAGAAGGAAGTGGTGGACCTGTCTCAAGAGGAGCGGGAGGTAGAGGAGGATAGCGCCACTAGTAGTGGGTTCTGTTCTGATGTGTGAGCCTTGTATTGTGCTGCAGCAGCAGCAGCACCACCAGCAGTTGCATATTCATGCTAATATACTTTTCAGTTGAGTTCTTGTGCAAATAAACAACGTTCCCCCTAAACGCGAAGTATACCCTGAGAGCACTGTTTGATGATCGTAAAGCACCCTGACAAATCAGTGAGCTATGGGTCTTCTAACCCTGTCTGCTGCACGCTTTTGGCAGAGCCAAACCTGAGGGCTCAGGATGCCTAGAATCCTATCTGAGGTCCTGCCAGATTCCTAAGGGTGCCTCACAACCAGTTTTGACCCCTGGTTGTCAAGTGACACCAAGGGCACATGACTGACCGTTGGACTGCCAGTCTCTGCCGGCTCACTGCCCTCCACACCTCTTTGTATCCCTTTTACGTTCCTGACGACTATCGCAATTACATGTTTTAGTAATGAACACAACGAAACTATTTACCGGAAAACTATTGTAACTATTCAACTGGGGAGAAATGGCATAAATAAATCATAAATACATGACGCTCTCATAATAAGAACCTAATAAAATTACTAATATTGATATGACTTTGGATGGATGCTTCAATAAAGAAAACACAAATATGTATTCGAATCAAAAAGCATATGGCGTACTCTCAGATATTGAGTCCCCGGAGCCCAAAGCGTAATATTTTAAAAGTTAGTTATTCAACCATTAGTAGGTAAGATTATCATTTTATCTAAACACTGATAGGAATGTAGTAATTGCATTAATAATGTGCTTTAGATGATTACCATAATAATTTTATACATTTAAATAATTGTGTGCCAATACAAAAATGTTATCACAACTTGGTATATTGTACGTAATATCTCTCAAACATAATTTAGTATTGGCCTACAAGGACTTACATTGGTTACTTGTACTAGTGGTCATAGTTAGTGCCTTAATGTCATGGGATGCTGAAAAAAAAAAAAAAAAAATGGAGCCTGCGGAAACCCTTGCGGAAATGGCGAGAATGTGATCTCGTTATACGTTGTGCGACTCAGACCCGATCCTTCTGTATAAATACAGACTCGAGGCACAAACACTAAACGAGCTAAGCACTTGATGCATTTTTGTCGCCCCTGCCAATGTACCTAATGCAAATTGATCTCTTCTCCCCATGCAATCATGCAATCGAGATTCAAGAATCACCACGAAGACTCACATTATGCCAGAGAACGCATTCAGTTTGGCTCACTTTAGGGATGACCAATCCTTGGCTCACTCTAGGGATGGCCTATCATATCCTTGGCTTTTGTTGCCCGAAACAAGTTTAGGGTTTATGCTTTCCGAATGACAACCACGTTTCCCTGGGGTTTATATTTTTTCGCTTGCATGAAAAAGAGTTTTACAAGAGTGAGCCAAAATTATTTTTTGCTCTGGCATAATGTGAGTGCGGCTGATCTTGCCCCATCGAGATTCGCCCGCCTCCCCAATTCTTTTCCTCCCCATGCAACAATTTTTCCCTGCAATCACGAACCACTTCTTCTACCAACCTGGTTTCGTCACCATTGTTTACGAGCGTGAAATCACTAAAGTAGGGGGGTGGACGGTCGGGGGCAAATAGAAAGTATTCATCGACTCGTCTGGAATTTTAGACCTTGTATTTACATCGTCTGGGAAATCAGAAACCAGAATCCCGTCCGTCTGGTCGCTTAGAAGGTGGAAAAGGGCTAGCGAGGGCCATGTTCGCGGCCCTCACTACGAAGCTTTCTTCTTCTTCTTCTTCTTCTTCTTCTTCTTCTTCTTCTTCTTCTTCTTCTTCTTCTTCTTCTTCTTCTTCTTCTTCTTCTTCTTCTTCTTCTTCTTCTTCTTCTTCTTCTTCTTCTTCTTCTTCTTCTTCTTCTTCTTCTTCTTCTTCTTCTTCTTCTTCTTCTTCTTCTTCTTTTCCTGGGGTGCCGCATCGGGTAGGCGAGTAAACACACGATTCGCACATGCTCCAAAAGTTGAAGTTTGCTCCGTGGTTCGCACCTCACGCAGTGCGGTGCGGGTCAAAGGAACAAGAGACGCGTACAACGAGAGACATACTTGGGTTCCCCTTGCTAACGCCGCGAGTTCTGCTAGCGGATTCCACGCATTGCGAGTAGTAGTTGTGTGTACTACTGTGAACGCGTAATGATGGGGAGTAATTGGTGGACGATGCCTCACCCTTCAAGATTGTGCTTCAAGTATAGTGCACAGGAGAGAGAGTAAAATGAAATATTGTTCGGTTATTTTTTCGTCCTACATGTCGTATTCTACTACTTCAAGCTCCGAGGATATAGAAAATTGCACGTAGCGAATACCCCTGTGCGACCCTGGCAAATTTGTTTAGAATGCTTACGAGGTTGTAGGAACATTATCGCTTCTGTACTGTAGAGGGGCGGGGAGCCTCTCTTTTGCGCCAACCATGTCCATGTATGCACGTCGCCCATTTTTTGCATGTGCCGCATAGCCAAGTTTCATCCACGTATAGAATATCCTTGGTTGCAACAATAACGATGCAAATGAACGGGGGCCATCTCGATGATGCACTGAGCGCTACAGGGATTGTAACTTGGTGGAGGTAAATACGCCCACCCCGAGGCTTTCCACTTCCGTTGGGCACATGTTGACAATGGATGCATGCTAAGTGGCACGCTCTGATTGGGCGTGGATTCTGTTCGGTTGGTAAGCCAAATGGATTCCCACGTCTTGCCTGGCGCATTCAAATCTCAGGGCGATCGCCGTGGGTCGTCGACCTCTCCGCGGACAGCATTCGTTCTAGGAATGAAAATAATTGGATGCCCAACATTAAATGTAAGCATGCTTATACGATGCCTGATTGACAGGTTTCATGTTTACTTGTGTATGTGGAGTTTGCACCTAGCGAATGATTGCCCGAGTCGTCGTTGCACTAGTCGCATATGACCTGTACACTTCAGAAAGTTCGCCGAACAAATGAATGTACTTTTCAGCCAAACGGAAGGCGCTGGAAACACTCGAGACTAGAGCTTGGTGTTAAAAGGAGGGTCTAGCTAGGTAGGAAGAAATAGCGAGAAAAAAAAAGAGTTGGACTCGTGAAAAGAGAGAGATACAAGAAGTGGGTTGTCCATTTTTTTTATGACTGTTACAAGCTCGAAGTGAATTCTTCCACCATGCGTAGCTTGGCACGCTTGTCATTCATCCAATAAGCGGGGATGAGATTTATGTTAGAAATAGACTGCAAATACCACTTTTATATTTGTACTTTTATATCCTAGTTTAGGTTATGAATATTCTAGTGGGTTGGGGTGTACTCACAAATCCCAACCTCACCCAATTGTGATCCCCCCAATCTCCAATTACCCAATTGGAGATTCCGAAGATCCCAATGGGGATTCCCTCCAATTCCCTCCTTCATCCATTTTCTCTCACCTTGCCATGTACTTATAGAGCCTTGGGCTCCTTACCTAATCAATCATTTCAACTCTATTTCTTACATGGTATCAAAGCGACCTATCCGCACACGCGGATCAAGGTCCTAATCTTAACGTGCCCGCGTTACGCGCACTTCATCGTCGCGACATTCGTCTCGAGTCGTCGGAATTTCGACGTGCTCCACTATGCAGTCGCGCCTCTCATCGTCGACCGCCTTCGCGCTCGACCTCGTTGAATTTCTCATCTTTGAAGCTTTCACGCTTCTCATCGTCAATTTCCTCCTCGGCTCTCCTTGGTCGAATCTCAATTTCGACCATCTCTTAAAACTCGTTCTCGAGTTTCCCCTCAGACCCCGCCAGAATAGGCGAACTCCCATCGCAAAATCGCCTCCACGAACATCTCGCGTCAAGCAAGAGCAGGAACACAGGTTGAAGCGGAGCGGGGCTGGTTGCGGAGCTGGTTGCGGAGCTGGTTGCGGAGCTGTGTAGCTGCGGGACAGAGCCTGGGGTGTGTGGGGGGGTGTGTGGGTCCGGGGTTAGACATAGTCTCAGATTCAGTTTCAAGAGTGATTTACAGCAATTCTCGTCGACCAATTTCCAGAAGTGCCGCGCTGCACACCGACAATGGCTTACTCAACCACTTCACTCGCCAATCCGATCCCGCTCCTTCGTCTTGAGCCGGACGGTACATGCTCCAACTACAAGGCTTGGCGCTATGGTGTCGACAAGCACCTCCTCAGTCGTGAGGTGAAGGGGCTCGAGCTCACCAACGTCCTTCTCAACATCGGTGATGGCAAAGAGCCCCCTAAACCCGAGAGCTCCGCCGATCCAGCTAATGCCGCCGCCGAAGCAGTTTATGCTGCTGCACTGCTCAAGTACAAGAATTGGGAGAAGACCGATGGTGCGGTCATTAGTGTCTTCATGGGCACCACTCCTCCTGAACTCGTCGAAACCTACCACAACTACCCGTCTGCCAACGCCATTTGGCTCTACCTCGAAGACCGCTTCCTGAACAAGACCGCAGTGGGAGTTGCTATACTCATCCCCAGCATGTTCCAAGTGCGGCTCGAGAACTCGCCAGGCATGGCGGACTATGTCACCAAGGTGTAGTCCATTCATGGTGAACTCAAACAGTTGGGGATAGTCTTCCCCGAGCAAGCCCCTGCAGCCGCTCTCCTAGTCGGCCTCACTCCGGCATACGAAGTCACACGCAAGATGCTCTTGGGCCTTGCTCCTGCAGACCTCACATTTGCCAAGGTCTCATCTGCGCTCCTTTCTGCCGAAAAGGACAACAGCGCTCAATCCAAGGCCAATGCAATCCGCGCTCCCGTGCCTCATGCCTATGCCGCTTCGGCACCGTTCCAGCGCAACCGCTTCCCCTCGTGTCCCTACGTCATCAAGCGCGGCCCTCGTGCCGGCCAGGTGTTTGGCGGCACCAACCACGGCCTTGCCTCCTGCTTTAAGAAGAAGGATGACGAATGGTATGCCGTCAATGGGACCGCCTCGAAGTCGCTAAGCTGGATGGTCAATCGTGCTCCTCGCCAAGTCAATCAAGTCGAAGCGCACGAATCCGTGCAGGCTGTTGTGGCTGCACCTGCTGATGTGCGCCTGAACATGTTGTTCCCTGGCACTGCCATGAATAATGAGACGAATTCGTAGTATCCTGGCTCACAAAGCACCTCAGCCACAATAGAGTTCAGCCACAATAGAGTTCACCCTCGACCGTGGGGCCACTCACACGGTTCTCAAAGAAGAACACTCCTTCAAGCCATACGAGACACCAATCCGTCTACTAGGAGCAGACTCCAGTTTCACAACACACGCCAAGGGCTCCTCCACAGTTCCGTGCCCAGCTTTTCCTTCGGGCAGTGTGAATGGCATGTGTGTTCCCACACTACGCCACAGTCTCGTGGCCCAACACGAGCTCCAACGGGCAGCCGTCACCACGATCTTCCCAGCACACTCGGATCACTGTGACCTCCTCGACCCTAGGTCCAACAAGCTCCTAGCACGCTTCACACTCAACAGCAACAAGCTCTACACGCTGCGTTCACCTGCACCTCTCGCCGCCCTCTCCCAAGCGCAAGCTGCCAGCACCATTCCGTGTTCCTGTCGCAGCTTCGCCAACCCAACCATCCTCTACCACCATCGCTTGGGTCACCCCAACTTCCGTACACTTGACGACATCGCTTCCAAGAAACTTCTTCTTGGCCTCCCGTCGGCGCTTTCTCCACCAACAGACTCACCTGCACCCACCTGCCTGGACTGCACCAAGAGCAAGCTCAGGCAGCAGCCGCACCCTTCCTCCCCATCCGTCGCAGCTGCTCCGCTGGACCTAGTGCACATGGATGTCTGGGGCCCAGCTCCAGTCGCATCCCGAGGCGGTTATCGGTACTTTCTTACACTATTCGATGACCACTCGCGGTATGTTTCTGTGCACCTCCTGCATACCAAGGCGGAGGCACCTGATGTCATTATGGCGTGGGTGCGCCAGGCTCAAGTCACGTTCGGCACTCCTCTGAAGTGCCTCCGTTCTAATGGCGGGGGAGAATTTCACAATGGCAAACTCGATAACTTCTGTGCGGCCCAAGGGATTCGGCAAACCTTCACGCTCCCCAAAAGCCCGCAGCAGAACGGCATTGCAGAGAGCCACAACCACACCTTGGTTCAGATCGCTCGCTGCCTCCTCAGTCACGCCAACGCACCACGGTCACTATGGGGATATGCCCTCTTCCATGCGGCACTCCTCTACAATCTTTATCCGCATCCCCACTGGCCCGACACCACACCGACCGCTCTCTGGCTTGGGGTCACGCCTTTCGTCCGCTCTCTACGCGTCTGGGGGTGTACTGCGTATGTGTTGCTCAGCCCCCACACACGCAGGAAGCAAGGTGGCAAGCTTGGTCCCAAAATCCAGACCTGCATGTACCTGGGGCACAACTCCGACTCCCTAGACTACTTATTCCTCAACCTCATCACCAGACAGCTGATTCGCAGCCGTGATGTCGTCTTCGATGAGACACGCCCATTCTACTCTGCAACCACGGGCGAGCCTCCTCCACCTCCCCCAATGCTTGTTTGGGCAGACTACGATGCCCCACCTCCGGCCGCTGCCCCTTCTCCGGGGCCTTCTCCGTCCGGCGTGTCTCACGTGGCCTCCCCAGTATCCTCCGCAGTGGCACCTCCTCCTGCTCCGCCTTCCCCGCACGTCGAGCCCGTCTCACCAGTCTCCTATCGGAGGCACTCAGTCCCTCCGGTCCCACCGCAGCCGCCTTCGTCTCCGGTCTCTAGTCGCACTCGTTCCAAGGGACCGGCTCCGCCTCTCGCCTGGGGACCAGCCGCCTTCTCCATCCGGTGTTCGGTCACCCCGCCTCCTCCTGCCGGGGGTGATGTCCCCTCCATTGGTATTCCCTCCCGTGCACTTCTGGAGGACAGGCATGAGGAGCTGTTTGACCTTCACGCGGTCTGCCAATTTCTCTCTCACATCTTTCCGGACATTACTGACTGCCCTTCCCTCAACTTCACCGAGAACCCGACCATTCCGACTCCTCGCACAAAATAGGAAGCTCTCTC